TCGATAAATTTAAAAAAAACAAACTTAGACTTAAATACCTACAATTTTGTAAAAATAAATTGATATGCATATTTAATTTGAAAAAAAGTCATAGGTACTTGGGAATACTTACCTCCAACGACAAGTCCTAGAAATAAACGTGTTGAATTTCCAGTTTTTTTGTTAGTAATAAAAGTTTCAGGATAAGTAAGCGTTTTTTGAGAATCACTTTCAATTATTTGTTGTAGAATATTATCATTTTCGGTGCATTCCTCACGACATAATTCTGACCACTACAATTACAATTATAAAAGGAAATAAATTTTTATTTAATAAATAAAATGTACTATTTGCTCAATTTTGTCTATGTGATTCTTTTTTTGTCTTTTTAAATAATTAATAAAGTATTTATTAAATTTTTATTAAAAATGCAATAAAGGCATTTTTTGAAATTTTAATTTTTGTGATAAAGAGTTAAACATGTGCTTTGAATTGTGTCGAATTCATATTACTTTATCGGTAATTAAACTTATTTGCATAGATAATCCATGCATGAACAGAATCTGCTAACACTGTGCCGACCGATTAAAAAAATAGCTATAAAAAAATAAGGAGGTAGTAGAGGTCAGTCTTAAAGGTCACATCACATAGTTCATTTCATGAGCACACAAAAATGTATTAATTGACATTTTTACATAAATACTGATTTGACAATAATTGAAAATAACCGTTAAATTCGTCCTTTCGTAATTCACAACGATCGTTTTCACTGATTGATCTAATTTTGCAAATAAATTTATTGGTTCATCCAAAATTATTGAATCATAGTTTCTGAAAAAATTCAAAAAACTTCACAGCAAAATTTGTGCTTAAAACGCACTGCAGAAAAAAAATTAGAATTTCTAAAATTCAAAAATTAATATTATGTACAAGAATTATTTAGTCCATAATATTGTTGCTTACTTTGAATGCATTATTATGGAAAATTCAGACGGTGAATCACGTCTAATAACACTATAAGCTGGATTAGAGCCATTAAATATAGGATCAGTACGTGTAATTGCACGTAGATTACTATGGCCAGATGCAGGATAATGTGCAGAATTACAAAAAACAAAAGTATCAAATGGTGGCAAAAGTTTCATCCGTTCTCGATGCATTACTGGACCGATCAAAGATAGCAAAACAAATGCTATAGGAAGAAACTAAAATTGAGTGATTAGTTATGATCTATTCACAGTTATGTTTACAGAAATTTTAGGATCTACTTCATCTGATTTTAGAATTTTATTGACATTTGATAAAATTAAATAAATACCACAAATAAAGCTTTTTTAGTTGGAATTGACCTTCCGAAATACCAAAATGTTCTTCGAAGGCCAGCTTCCACAAATCGGAATGCATACATTTTGTACACAGGCCTGCCATCTATAATATATTTGCATATTTCTTAATGCTAAATTAATCATATTTTAAATAATAATAGAATTTAATAAATCAGTCACTCATCACTTTCGATAAACTTATAGTAAAATTCTTATATGAAAAAATTTAATCTATTAAATTGCAAATTAAAAAGATAATAATAATTAACTAAAATATTCATATCAGAACTTACCATTTTTATTATGTTTCTGAGAAGAATCAATTTCTTTCAATGGTAACATTATAGCTAAGTTATCAATTTCTTGACAATTTTTTGAGTAAATAAAAATTTTTGCAGTTTTCATTTTATTAAGAAAATAGTACATAATATTAATTGAACTTTGATGGAAAATAAAGAAAGTATTATTGTAAATGGAAAATATTCACAAATATTTTATTAAAAGATTTTCGTTTTATCAAAAAAATATATTATTTTTTGTATTACAGTCTTTATATGGTTCAGAAATCCGATCACAAACTTTTTAACCACCCATTTTGATGATAAAGAATGCCGTTTATTTCAAAGATAGTGATAAAGATTTATTGTTTTTATAAATTAACGTAGACAAATAATGAATTGTTGATATTTTCACGCACAGACACACGTACATAAACAATCACACATGACCTATACATAGACAACTTGTACACTTTCAGCATATTATGCGTTAAAAGAATAGAAAGAAAAAATTTGTGATTCTCGGCTCAATCTTTGATATAATTCAAATTAATGAAGGCTATAAATTTCTCCAAATTAAAAAAAAAGAAAACTACTTTGAATTCAATCATTGGTAATTTTTCAGTTTATTTAAGACTAATTTGACACTTTGATGCGAAAATTAGTTTCAATTAATTATTTGATTTCAATTTTATTCTCTCTCTCTTTTTACAGTCCAAATATCAAAATTTTAAACACATTTTTGATACAAAAAATGGTAATCTCATCGCATACAATAGGAATTTAATGCAAAATATATAATTTTCACTTTTTTTATTTTGTAATGCTACCAAAATTATTATAGAATATATTAAATTTGGTATTTTTTATTTGCTGAAAACAAATTTAATTTTTGATGTAATCAGTTTTTAAGTAATAAATGGTATAAAAATTAAAAAATACAAAACATAAAAACGTTAACTTACTTTGAATGCAATTGAAATACGTAATAAAACGACTTGTTGAACACAAGAAATGAATAGTAATGGAATTATAACTAAGATAAAATTCTCTGAGAAGTGAAGCTTTAATTTTGAAATGAATTTTTATTGCAAAACCAATTTTGATAGTCATATTTGAAAGAAATTTTAAAAAGTTACAAATTTTTCAAAATTCTTTTCAAGTGAAAACAAGCTTGAAATTCCAAACTTTGCAGAAAATTCTAGGAAGCGTATTTCCTTGAAATTTGAACATTGTAAGATTTATCAAAGTAATTGAGACTGCATTTCTGATTGATTAGATAATTTAATTCAACAATATGAAAAACATTAACTACAGTTTCACAAAGCAATGCAGGATTTCGCAAAACAAAGTTAGAAT